AATCTCTTTTGTGTTTTAGGAACTTCACACGACTGGAGATTACGTTGTGGTGCTGTGGACCTCTATTTCACACTTTTTGGCCTCAGCAGACCTTCTTGTTTACCATTGCCAGAGCTTGGACTTGTTCTTAATCTGAAAGAAAAGAAGGCTGTTCTTAATCCAACAATTATCCCTGAATCGATTGCAAATAATCCAGAACCTGTGAATAGTACTAACAATCACGGACAGTCGGTGGGATTTCAGAACACCGTAAGCACAAGCCATCTGCATACATCCTGTTCAGCTGGCTCTGAGGCCTTGCGTTGGTTGCTGATTTCATTTTGTGTTGTGTTCAAGCTTCTCGTGCCTTACCTAAGCTACCTTTGCAGCCTCTTACTTATTATTCCTTCCACTTGAAAAACTGGCAAAACCATAACTTTTTTTACTTTTTTTAACTGTTTTTCATGATGTATGCAAGCTTTTTACTTGTTTTTTCTAGTCTCATCATTTCTATTCTTTATAAAACTTTATTGCTTATGAGACATGAAGTGATTCACAGAAATGTTTGATGCTGTGATGAAAACTTTTTTTATTAGACTAAGAATATTGCTTATGGGCAAGTTATGCAATTTTCCAAAACAAAACCTTTTATCAGTGAATTTATTACGTCTTAAAATACATAGGTATACCTCTTTTTAAACAACCTCAAGAGATGTGAAAATTGGAACTTTAGCACATCGTTGAACGGTTGAATCTGACTACTTAGCACTGTGCTCTGCAGGATTTGTAACAACTTCTGAAAAATCGCGTACGATAAGTTTGGTATCTTTCTGGCTTCGGAGGCTTCAGTCCTAAAACATAGTCCATTGTGTAGTTAGAAAATGGATCTTGCAAGCTATTCAAGTCATGCTTTTCCTAGGAATAACTACCACTACTGCAAGACTAAGTCTTTTTGTTGGACAAATTTAATTACCAGGGGAAAAAAAACTAACAGGCATGGAAATAATGAGTAATTTTCGTACCAGTTTCAAAAACTACATTTGATTGAAACTCCTCAGGAGTAAATCCTGAAAGAGAATGTGAACGTGTGGTTAGCATGTTTGAAACTCTTTCCACCTTTTTGGATGGAATGTTGTACTGTTACTTTATCAACCTCATAGTTAATTTCTAAATTGTTTTTATTCAGAAGTATACTGAAAGTGCAAATTATCACAGTACCTTGCAGGCTATTTCCAGTAGGAGGAGAAAATTATGGAGTCAGACATCATTAGAGCTATCCTACATATTTACAGAACATGTAGTAAGTCCTAATTTGCTGCACACAGACATCAGAATTAAATAGCGGGAGACATTTTGTTGGCAGATTTTTAGGCTGCAGTTCAGTGAACATCCAAACTTTTCTAGCAGCCAGACTATCTTAATCAAAAAATTTCCTCTTAACTCTTCCTTTTTCTATACTGTCCTCTGCCTTGTGCTAGCACAGTTGTTGTTGCTGCATGATGAGCTGGATCAGGGGAGGATGGGATTGGAAAAATACGTGTTTTATGAACAGGTATTTCCTGCAGGGTCAGCTTCCTGGTCCAGTTCACCATGTAATTATACAAATGCTTGTGACCCGCCAGGACAGAAATGTGTGAGGAAGGGGAAGAGGCGGCTACTTTTAGCAGCACTACTGGCTTACACTAGTCTGAAAATAACAGCATTAATATAAGCCCCAATTCACACTTCATCCCTCTTATCTTCTCCTGTGCCTCATCTCCATTCTCCTACTCCTTACTTGGTTAAGGTCACTATTTTCACTGTAACTCCCCATAATTCAGGGAACTGATTTTCCTTTGTAAAAAAAATAAACCAGTAATTTAAAACAAAGGCTGCGTCTCACATCAGCCAAAGTTTATCCAAAGTTTTTCACAACAGCAGTGTGTTGGGTTAAATAATAGTGATGAAAAAAGGGAAGTACGTATTTGAGGTGAAAATAATCAACAAGTGATAGAATACATTAGATCAACTAGCTTCTTTAAAGTAGACTGTATATGCTGATAATATAAACATGTTAATATCAGTACCAATAGCGTTGTGACACTCAATTAGTTGAGAATGGTAAAAGCTACCTGCTTCGTAAAATTGAATTCGAATTGTTCAAGGCATGAGTGATGGGACTGGAGTGCCCTTCATAGGATAGAGGAAGAGCAGTTAGTTCAGTGGAGCAGCATATGCTCTTGAGAGTCTATGATGTGGCTTTTATCTAGTTTTTGTGGACTTTTAATTAAGTTTGCTTCTGTGGGTACTTTATTTTTCCTTCTATATTTTGTGTATTGCACTTCTTGGAACACCTGTCTCCTGTTTTAATGACTATACGTGTAACTTAGTAGACTCTCCTGCTATTTTTATGTTCATTTGACCCTGTTTTGGTTGATAATCTAAGCAGTAATTTAGAAAACAGTTTAAGTCTTTTTTATAAATATTGTGAAATCAAAACAAAGAAAACCCCAAGTTTTAAGTGCTCTTTATGATTTGTGTTCAACACAGTAAGCATTAGCTTTTAAAGCTAACTACAGGAAGATTTAGCCTGTGTAGATCAGAGGCGATCACAGTGTTTCAACTGAGATTTGGACTGAGGAGAGTCTGGGAGGCACAGATTTATAGAAAGGCTATTCAGAGGCAGCAACAGTACTGCTTTACCAGTGCCTCCCAAGGCACACCAACAGTACCATGATTGTGAGAAGGGACAGAAAAGATGCCAATACTAGATATGCAGAGGGAGCAGGGATAGGAGTAAAGAGAAACTATGTTTGTAGGAGAGGTTGGCACAAATCCATACAGGGTTTTAGAAGATACTTTTTGCCAGAACTACAGGGAAAACTTTGTTCAAATCACCCACTTTACTCAGAAGTGTTTTCAGCTGTCAGGTCTCTTCTAGGCTGAAACATGGCTCTTGCTATCTTCTAATTTTGGTCTTTTAATGCTGCTTCAGGAGGATGATCATCTTATTAAGGAAACAGCATCCAGCATTTCTGGTCATCAGCAGGGGGTGAAGAGGAAGGCTGATATGCCACTCGGGTCTCCATTGGAGCCAGGGCAAATACTAGAGAAGAATGAAGACAGTAAAGTCAAACTCAAAATCAGAGTAAGAAATGGAAATCCAACTTGCACAATGTGTAGGGTATTCAGAATAACAGCAGTGGCTTCTGCTGACTTCCCTTAAAGCTGTGTTCAAACAAAAGACATGTTGTATATATGTGTGCAGTAGTTGTTACTCTTACTTTGGCAAAATCATTTCCCATCAGATTCTTTATTGGCTGGGAAGAACTAAAGTTGACAGTTAATGCCCTTGTTCACACAGCTTCATGGTAAATTAGAAGAAAAAACACTGACCCTTTTAATTTTATTGAATTTTTATTCCTTTACAGTGGTAGATATCACTTCCTTTCCCTCTCACCCCCAGTTTACCTAAAAATAAAATATTTTAAGTTCTATTTAGTGATATTCCTTTAAATTATTAGCATCTGCTTATTTTTTTTCCTGATGTCTTAGTTCTCAAACTCTCAAGAGGAGGAGGAAATTGATATGGACACAGTTCATGACAGTCAAGCCTTTATTTATCATCATTTGAATATGTTGGAGAGACCATCCACACCAGGTATGAGTAAATTTATTGGAAAAATTAGAGTGTTAATTTTTCAGCTAGTTCAGTTGTGGGGTTTTTTTAGCTGCTGCTTATTCCCATATGTATAGTGCTGGTGAGTGGTAAACATTAACTGAATTCAAGGAAGTATGTGAAGGGTGCATGAGGACATTTCTTTAGCTTCCAGTATATTTATAGATAACTATGTACGTACGTATTTTCATACATATCTAAGTAAGGCAAGTATGTATCATGCTCATAAAAGTGAAAAGCTAAAGAATTAAAAAAATAACATAAAACTGAAATAGAACCCCGTGAGCAATTGGGTGAAACTTATTTTGTGATAGTTGTCATTTTAAAAATAATAATTTTGAAGATTAACTTTAAAAAAAAAGCAAGACTAATTGGATAAAAAAAATCTGTAATCTTAATGATTTATAACTTAGTATCAGTAGTTAAAAATCGTGCAAGCCTCAAAGATGCTTAGAAGGGCTTTTCAAAGTTGAAAAGATTGCATCTATGAGTAAAATAGTTTCATTTCAAGCCCTTCTTTTATTTCTTCTCGTAGTATCTCGTTCATAATATATGTGACAAAATCAGTTCTCAAAGCATAGTGTTTCTTAGAGACCTTAAGGCAGGCTGAACTTCATTGATGAACTTCCACCTTCTTTGCTTATCTGTTACTAGCAAAGAAATTCAGTGGTTAGTCTCATTTTCTCAAAATATTTTAACCACATTTCTTAAGTTTACTTCCAGAATGTCCCAGTGGAGCTTAGCTGAGGTAGTGTGACTGTGTAACAAGCATTTTGAGACGTCCTTGGTACACATCCAAAACAAAGTTTTAAGGTTGCAGTACTGCAATGTGTAAAAATGAAGTATTTGGCCTTAAAAGTAGGATTCAGACTAATTACCCTCTTGCTTGTTTTTCCGTTTCTATCCAATGGTTTGCCTAATGTAAAACACAAGTAGACCTTAGCAGCAGGATCTGGAACATTGATTCTGTCTTGAGTGCCCTAGGTCCTGAGCTGTGCTGACAGGTGACCTCATCTGCTTTCCCTGTGACCTGGCAATTTAGTGGCCCTGTTTAAAAGAAGGGGTGGTGGATGTTCCTGCTCTGAGTATCCTGCTGAGGCTGGTGCCTTGGTGCTGGCTGCGGGTGTGGAAGCTGTAGGTTCATACTCCCTTAGGGCCTAGGACTTACATTTTTACTTCCTTGGCAGATGCTTTAGCCACTAACGGGTTTTGTTGTTTTTTTGGTGTGGGTTTTTTTTTATAAAAGGTAAATGCTGTCATTGCTTAGCTAACAAATTAAGTTCATATGGGGACACAAAACACAAGGAGGTCTAGTTTCTGGATTCCAGATGGCCTTTGGCTAATGACATGTGCCTGTACAGCCAGCTCCACCAGGATGGATTTTCTGTTAGATATGTAGAGTAGCAAAACTCACAACTTTTTGCCTAAACCGTAGGCATTTCAGCAGAGTAGAGGGGAAGACTGCATATAGGTTGTTGTCATGAACTTAGGAGCCTAATTCCACACAACCTTTACTTTAAACCTCTCGGAGCTCTTTGAATTTTGTCCTCAGTGTTATGGTCAACCATCACGTTTTCTGTTACAGCGAAGAATGACACATCCAGGGCACACGAGTGCAAAGCTGATCCACTGAGGATTAGTATTTATAACTCTTGCATGGTATTTTGCAACATTTTTTTTTTTACTAGATTCACACACTCTATGGAATATAAAGTCATAAACAAAACTCTGCCAAATACTTCACAAATAGGACTTACGGGACCCTCTTTACGTCAGCTCTGTGCTGCAGGACTGTTGCATGTTGAGTTCAGAAAGGGTGAGGTCTGATCGGGAGCGGCGTGGTGGCCAGCTGACTGCTCCTTTTGCAGACCCGCAGCAGACAAAAGCTACTTCGAGTTTCACTTGTGTGCTGAATGACCTTCTCACCTCTGCCCTTTAGGCATTCAGCACACTGGAATACATTTTCTTTCCTAGGTAATAAAAGAGACAAATGCTGGTTTTTGCTATAGAATTCATTTTAAATAGTAAGCCTTCGAAAAGCATTATTTTGAAACACTTCAGACTAATTTAATTTTCTTTGGTTTGTGCGGTTAGAAACAGTTCCACTTCAGATATTCTTTGCTTCTAAAATTTCACCTGTTTCTTATTCATAGCATTTTTCTTAGAAGCAGAGATGTATGAATTTCAGACTGAGTAAATAAAATCAGTTCAGTCTTTAGGAAAGGGCATACTTCTCAGAAGAAATGCCAAACAGATGGGGAAAAATGGAAGCATACATAAATAAAACTGTTCACACATAGGAGTGTTCTGTTTTACAAAGGAATCATAGATAATATTTCCTGAGGGCTTTTGAGTTTTTGCAGGAACGACGGAGGATGGGTGCATTTCAGCGAGTGGTTATTGTGAAACAGAGTGACAAGAGGTTCTGAAATGGTCTCAGTATCTCGTTAGTAAATCTGTAAGGTCTTGCATCTGCCTCAATTCTGTGACTCTTACTTGGAAGGCAGTGAGCTCTTAGCCCATACTCAGTTTTCCTCTCACAGCTGTGGGTTGTGTCCCCACATGTCACATGAAGTGTTAGGTCATCAGCCAAACACAGCCTGTGAACAGCAGCTGCCAGGAGGCAGTTCATGTTGGGTCTAAATCCTGACGTATCTGTGTATTCTTCTTTTTTTTTTTTTTTCCACACTCCCCACACCACCCCAGATGATCATTTGAATTTGTCGAAGTTGATGTAACCCCCATAAAGCCAGGAAAACATTATTTTCCTTTGAAAGCTTTTTTTTTTCTGTATGCTTCTGCTCATGGATGTGAAAGGGCAATAAAAGAAGTCTTGTACTACAACTCTTACAGGATTATAGCTTTCAGTACTATAATTATAGCATCTTTTGTAGTTGTTCATATAGAAAATGTTTCAAATTCTACTAAAGCATCCTCTCTACGATAATATAACTGCGGACTCTGGTAGTTGTAAGGGATTCTGAGTGTTTTTCAAAAAGTTATTGAAACAAAACATCATTTGTAAACTGTCTGAAGAATGCTGTTGTGTTCATTATGCATCTGCCGTAAGGACTAGAAACGTGGCAGCCTCCTTTGAGCCTCTAAAGCTGTGCAAGGTCACGTTTCTAATGTGAGAACAGATTTCTATTTGCTACTAAATCATCAGGAATAGTAGTAACACTCCCTACTCTTAAGATCGAAAGAATTTCAAGATCGGATTTTGTGTAAGCAGTAGGTTTAAACTCTCATTTCAGATTGTAAGGTGACTTGTCACGTGTTGGTGACTTCAGTGAAATCAGATTAAGATATGTTTCTTTATTTACTTTAATATTTCACTTTGAAGTTTCACAGTACTTCAAAATGAACATTGAAAAAGTTCTGCGTATGTGTCAGTGGTTATTGATTGGCCTGTTCTTTTCTGCTTCCAAAATAACTGCCTGGCTGTAGCCGGCGTGATCTACCAGTGAAGTTACACATCGTTATGGTTCAACAGATCATCAGTGATAAACATTTAATTAGAATTTTCCAAACTATTTTTGGTCGTTTGATGGTTGATAAAAAGCAGTATCCAATTCTCTCTTATCTTTATTTCTACAAAAGAATAAGAAAGTAAGTATAGCGATGTTCTCTTTGTGCACAGGCAGTGCTTTTTCTGGTCACATTCAGGAGCAGTGGGCTTTGAGGACACATCCTGAGCATTTGAACTCAGATCAGAAGAATCCTTTGGCCATTCTATTCATCCATTTGCTGTTTTCCAGGATAATCAAACTGGAAATTTCCACTGCTGACCTTGTAGGTCACTCAGTTTACCATGTTAGAGGCACATGAAACTTTGAACGTCTAGGCTGCTCTCGTACGTGTTAATTGGATTGTGGTCTTGTTTATCACAGTTATTGTCTGCAGTTTCAGGAAGTACTTTAGCTGGATTGTATGCTTTCTGTAACGGTTTGAAACTGGATACAGCACATACTGCAGTAAGAGGGAAGCTACTGTAGTTTTATGTTTAAACAGTACATTTACACCACTAGATTTGAGCCTGTGGTGCAAATCACCGCTATTCACGTGCGGATACAGCAGTTAATAGGAATTCAGTCTGAACTGTGTAAAAAAAGCCTCGTCCTCTGCAGCTCAGTGGAGTTACCCGAGCCAGCTATAAGAGCACCAGTACCTCAAAGTTCAGCCGTTAGTTAGTGGCCCTCTGCCAAAAAAGGTTACTGAAGCATCTGCGCACAGACGAATGTATGAATGAAAGCTTGGATAGGAGGACACCACTGACGATGAGGGATTTTTGCTTTACTTTTTAAGGAGGGAAGAGCTGTTACAACTGTTCTGTTAGACTACCCTTTAAAATCATATAATATTAATATAGTATGTTTGATAGTATCCGTTACATGTATGTTGACTTTATTACCTAAAATATAACTGCTTCCAAACTGGTAACTCATAGGCTTTGATGTTCTGTAGTTAATTTTGCCTCACTGAAATAGTATGTGGTTAATTGTATGCTTCATAAGGAAGCACGTTTTCAAGTGCTTTATCGTAAAGTGCATGAAAGCAGCTTAGATAGAAACATAAGCCCTGCAGTAAAGTGACAACATAAATGAGGATTGCATCAGTGTGTGGCTGCAGTGTGTCAACTACACGATTTAATAAAAAACCATAATACTGTAGCTGTGACTGTCTCTGAGAAAACAACTTATCCCTCTCGAACCTCGAAGATAAGGTTAGAAACTAAATTTGTAAGTGAACTACCTGAAACTGTTAGAGGCACAAAGTATTCTGAAGTGACTTACTGATCGAACTCTAGAGTAGGGAATATTCTGGAATTTTTCTAGAATGTTAAAGTAAACGTAGGAAAAATAACACCACAGTTGTTATTTTAATGTAAGGACAAAGCAATATAGTTGTTAAATGAAAGTCAAATGAGGAAATTAATAAAACAGTTCTAAGAGTTAAAACTGTATATTAGTTAAATCACCAGT